CCTACAACTATATTTCTTTATTCTTCCATTTCAGCTCTTTCATTGTTACATGATATTTTGTGGTATCATTAATACTTTCCTAGTGTAAAACTCTGTATATGACAGTTTGAAGAGCAGCAATGAGAAATTAAATAATTTTAATATAAGAATATATCTCTAATATAATCACTGCAATAAGATTGATGCACATAGTAACACTGGCATCAAGTTTATGCTGCACGAGAGAAAATTGCGTAGGCAGAAATATGTCAGCCTTCCACCTAATGTTTCATAATGAGATATCTCTGAGCCACTGCTTTCAGCCGAACTTTACCTTGCTAGGAAGACTTGTGTGTTTTGATTACAGATATTTGCATACATTTTATGACTTGGAAAATAGCTTCTTTTTTTCTGGTGCAGTAACTAACCAATATGTTTTTCATCCATTGGGGTTTGTTGTCCAATGTAGGCATGGAATGGATGCCAAGAAGACCGACTATGCTGTACATTTTGTTTCATTCCTATCACAGAAATGAGAAATGTCAGAATTGAGGTTACTTATAGCTATGGATTTCACATGGGAGCATAGCCCTAACTAGAATGTCTAGGTAATGCTTTAAGCATTGTCCTTTTGAAACTGTACTTTTGTTGTAAATGACTTGTCTAGCACTCACAGTGGGAAGCCAGTAGAAAATGTATCTGCAAGGGGGGGATCCTTTGCCCCTCGTTGATCTGGGTTTGCCTTTAGTGAAAAAGCTACCATGTGCAGCAGCTTTCTGTTTGCTTTAAAGAAGAGGCTCTAGTGAACAGGAGTAACTTTGCTGTTGAAACTACAGGCAGTAGTTAATGTAGCAAAACAAACCTGCTCATATTAGAATATTTGCTCTTGCTAAGTACTGCCCTGTTAGAGGTGGATGGCCCTGGGATACTTGACTAGCATAGTACTTATTTGCTACTCGTATTTAACGCTCATGCAGCCATTGTGAAAGTACATGTTTGCTGCCAAAATGATTTTTTAGGGTTTTTTGTATTTTTTTGTATAAGAAATCAGCTCACTGTACTGATAAAAGTTGCTGGTGCTGCCTTTTTAGAAAGGTGATTTGAAGCTGTAAATTTTTCTTTACAGAAACTTCTAGAACTGTAGACAGAACATTTGTTTTCACTTGCTGAGTTAATTGGAAATGAGGGAGGCAAAGAAAAGAAGCTGTTGCTTTCAGAAAGCAACTGAGTCAAGTATTTCTACTCTGATCAACAAGCAGAATCTAAGTGGTAAAACTCTTCAAGAAGCCCTGGCTGCCTCAGTGAATCGCAAAGATCAGTTCTGTTCTCATGTCCATTCAAAAATACAGAGTAAATGTGTGCCTTTTATCGTGCATTGAGAAACAGCGGCACTTTTTCCATCAGCTTAAATTTATATTCTTTATTTGGGTGCCAAATACTTAAACTCTGCATTTTTCTGTTCACCCAAGTGCTGATGCTCGATTTCAGACCACAGTGCGAGATTGTCCATCTATAAATATGATTTGAACATCACAGCACATGTATAAAAATGTACAGTATTTCAAAAATTGGGCTCCAGGTGTTTACTATGCAAGAAAATAGGCTTTGACTTGTAAAGTTCATGTCTGAAAACCTGATTGTGATAATTGGCTAGATACTAGATGCATGTAACAGGATCTCATTCAACAAGAACCAGAGTGTGTTCTTAATTTTAAGCAGACACAGTGTCTCTCACTACAGTGGGAATTACCTTGTTTAACATTAGTACCTTTCTACATAATTTGTTTCTCTGATACATGTGATCATTTTAATATTTAGAGGTATTTTAAAATCCTGGTTTAAGACAAGCCATCTCATTCAGCCTCTGAAAGTGTAGTGCCTTTTAGAAATCTCATTTTCCTATACAAATTAGTAGACACCCTTCAAAGAAAATAAAGGGAAAATATGTTATTTTATGTATTATTACTTCATGCATCAGTGAGGAAATCAGAGTGAATGCTGTTAGATAATTTAAAATTGCCACAGTTGAACTAAAATGTCTCAGTAAGATAAGAAAAATTATCTGATCTTTTAATAAAATCACATAAAATTTGATAAATTTATCATTTATTTCACTTTTATTTGTGTTTCTACAGAAAGAGGCTTTTTTCCCTTCCAATCTCCCAGTCAATATTGCTTAGAGTTTACTCAGTGGGACATGTCACTGATAAAACATAAATCAGCAGCTGCTAAAGCAAGAAGGAAATGTTAAAGCTAGGCTAGCGATCCATCAGGAGCAACAGTGACACCAGATACTATCTTGGTTTGTGGTGTCAGATATCTGTAGTAAGATAAAGAAAATATCTCTGGGATATGGGAGAGAACACTGTGGTTTTTCTTTCCAAAGAGCTGGTAGGCTAAAGCCTCTGTCCACTAACAAATCAGCAACCATTAGTTTGGCCAGTCCATGACCCATCACATAAGGGTTGTTTCTCTCAGCCAAAAAATGCATTTCTCCCTCCTGCAAAGTGAGTGCTGAGGGAGATGGAGAAGGGTAGAAGCAGGTGTGCCCTGATTGACGTCTGTTTATTGACACAGTGAAGATCATGGGAAGACTGTCCCTGCAATCACTTATTTAAAAGCTATGTTGTTGGCAGATACATTTCTTTTTCCCCTTCTGTCAGTGAAGGCAAGTTTGTGGTTAGCCATATATTATATCACAAATAATTGGTAGAAGATTATGCCTAGAATTTCAAGTGAAATCAGACTGGATGATGTCCTAGATCTGATACTTGTGCAGTGATGCTAGATCTGAAGGCTACTGTGAATCAGAGAAGTATGTAAGGTTGAATTGCTGGAAATTCCCCATACTGCAAATGGGCCAAATACAGGAGGAGAGATTTGAATGCAGCAAAACTTGCCTTGGCTTAATAGGCTGAACAGCAGTCAGGCTTAGGCTGGACATTTTATGATCACTTTCTAGACAGTACTTTTCATTAACTGGAAAGTGGCTTTGAAATTGATCATGTATATTCTCCAATGGTTTCATTTTATCAACAGGCCTGTGGTTAGATGGCCCATCAAATACCAATGCTTCAGGACCTCTATTGCTGGCTGGCTGTCAATTCCTTTCTCCCTGGCCCAATTCAGCTTTGTTGAAGATGCTGCAGGGATTCTGCTGCCTTCGTGTCTTTTGAGGAGCAATGATTTGGGTGTAAACAAGGATGGAGGGTTTGGGGGAGAGAGGTATTTTGTATTTGTCACTATTGTCATTATTTTTCTCTAACCAAGGTTAAAATGGCAGTTTTAAATTGGATTAGAGATGTAAATATGTAATTGTTTATGTTACAAGTGGTAACTGAGTATTTAACAAGAAACTGAATGGTATCACTTGCAAAGCTGCTCAACTGAGTTGCTGTCCATTGCTTACCTCTCTACCTCCATCCTATCATTTATATAGGATATATTGTTTATACAGAATATATTGTTATGTCTTTTCTAGCAGCTGCAGTATTTTTCCATGGTCCCTAGAATTCTCTTCTGGGGCTAATCCTAGGCTCCCACCTCTGAGGCCATCCACATATTTCCTTAGGCTGCTGCTATATGCATAATCAGCTGTCTCACTTAAGAAATTCTCTTTGTTCTACACCATTAAGTGCTGAACTCCTGCTGCTTCTATGACAGATCACTTTTCAGGATTCTACAAGGGGAGCTGTGTCTGATATTAACAGTGGGTCTTTGCTGTGGAACAAAGAATACGCCAGGGCAAGCATGAGACGGTTTGAATTTATAATATTTTAACATTGGGAAATAAAAAGAGCTGAAGTGGGTGTTTGTATACCCATTTTGAGATCTGTATTTCCAAAAAAAAATGAAGGATTTTTAAAATAGTGTTAAGCAGTTTTGTGCCCAGGAATATAATTCATGGTTCCTAGCAAGGTAGTGGTGAGATAATCATTTGGTGAGGAGAGGGGGATGATATAGGAGGGAATTCAGAATGAGACCAGCTTGTTATAGGCAGACTGTAGAAGAAAGAAAAATGATTCCATCAAAAGCATGAGTGATTGCCTCTAGTGAGGCACAGTAATGGACTAAATGACCTGAAGGTTTCTTCTTCTACTATGGCTTTTTTGTTGTGAAGAGCACACCTCAAACAGATGCTTTTGTGAAAGGTTTTGTTGCCACTCTAAAAGCCAGCCATATGCCCAGTAGCTCCCTCTTTTTCTCTGGCTGTATCCCAGCACCCTGTAACCAGAAGCGTAAGGCTCTTTGCCTAGTATCTTTTCCTTCCTACACTTGACACACATCTATCTTTCTCTGCATTTTCAAAACTCCCTGCTTTCTTTGCTCGTGTTGAAAGAACACTGAAATTGGCAAATCTTGTGCCTATTTACATGTGCAAATCAGTTTAAAACAGTGACTCACTAGCTGACAGTTTTGTTCTGCAGTGCTTTTAAACAGCAACCATTGCATAGAAGTGTGAACCCCTTTGAAACTGACTCCAGTACTGGGGTGCCTCCTAGACCACAGCATGCTATCATCTTGGCATGTGAGAACTTACAGTGTCCTGTGGCTGAAATATGCTGTCCATGCTCTTTTTGTCCTGATAGTTGTTTTCTGTCTCAAGACTTAATTTGTCCTTTGTGTATTTTATTTTAGCCTGGTTGTTCCTGTAGTGCTGTGTCATTTGTAACAACAGCTCTTGTCTGTTTTCACATCTTGAAGTTAGTTTTGTAGATGGTATGGTGATATGATGTTCATGGCACTGTGCCATGTGTTCATGTCAATGAGGGACTTGCCATTGGTGACTGATCATTACGGATAGCAGAGAATGTTGTTTCATTCTATTTAGCTCTAAGTCAGTCCATGTTCTATCTAAAGCTGCTTGGTTTGAAGAAAAATTGGTTCTGCTGGCAGGGGGGTGGGGTGGGGTGGGAATTAAGTAGCTTTATTCAATGTGTATGTTCCCTCACCTCAAAGCCTCTTGGCTGGATTTTCTACTGCCCTGTCACAAACTCCATCAATCTCTTCAATTTCTTCAGAAGGAAGAGAGGATTTGCAGGTTAACCAGCTGGAAACTCAAATATGGATAACACCAGACATACAGAAGACAGATGTGGACTTTTCAGAAATTCTTAATGCAATACAAGAAAGTAAGTTACTCCTTGGATGCAGAATTTGGTTTATGGTAGAAGAATCAGTTGAGGTGCATTGAGATTATAACCAAAAGAACATACGGAGTGATTAACTGAATGACAAGTATGTATTACTACAATCTCTGAGAAAGTTCAATGGGTTATTGAAGGCCTGTAAGAAATCTTTTACTGAGAAGTCATGGTAAGATTTGAATTATTATGTGCCTAAGGATTCCAGCAGTATGTATTTCCAATACAGAAACAATCAGAAGTAGAATCATAGAATCATAGAACAGTTAGGGTTGGAAAGGACCTTAAGATCATCCAGTTCCAACCCCCCTGCCATGGGCAGGGACACCTCACACTAAACCATGCCACCCAAGGCTTCATGCAACCTGGTCTTTAACATTGCCAGGGATGGAGCATTCACAGCCTCCCTGGGCAACCCATTCCAGTGCCTCACCACCCTAACAGGAAAGAATTTCTTCCTTATATCCAATCTAAACTTCCCCTGTTTAAATTTTAACCCATTACCGCTTGTCCTTTCACTACAGTCCCTATAGGCCCCCTTCAGATACTGGAAGGCTGCTATGAGGTCTCCATGCAGCCTTCTCTTCTCCAGGCTGAACAGCCCCAACTTCCTCAGCCTGTCTTCATATGGGAGGTGCTCCAGTTCCCTGATCATCCTCATGGCCCTCCTCTGGACTTGTTCCAACAGTTCCATGTCCTTTTTATGTTGAGGACACCAGAACTGCACACAATACTCCAGGTGAGGTCTCACGAGAGCAGAGTAGAGGGGCAGGATCACCTCTTTCCACCTGCTGGTCAAGCTAAGATTCCTGTTACTTTAATCCATTTTTTGCACTCTTGAATATCTGTGTGAACTAATAACACCAAGCAAATGCTGCAGTCTGGGATCTAAGACTGGATTTGAAATTCCAGCTGTTTGGATATATTCATATTTTTGCAGCTGGAAATTATTGGGAGTAGAAGCATCACAACTGAATGTCTGCATGTCTTAGATACAAGTGAAAATAGATGGTTTTACACAGTATCTATGACTGGTGTGGACTAAGAATTGGTAGGTCCACCCTTTTTAAATCCAACTGCAGAATAAACTGAAGACTTGTGCTAGAAGAATTGCTACTGTTAATTCAGTGGAAGACACACACCCCCTACTCAAAACTGTTGCAACTCTGGAATCCAAAAGATTCTGTAATTTCAGAGGAAATTTTCCATAGTAGATTGAAAAATTTTATGCAGGCCAAGAATCAAAATGCATGATATGGCTTTCTGGTTTCCTTCTTTTCCAGTTTTATTTTAATCTGGGTGTTTCGTGTAGCAATTTTCTAAAGGGAGAAACAGCAATTTATATTCTTGAATGACAAAAGATGTATAAGAACATATAAACCCCTGCAATCCACCCTATTTTTGCCATATGAATAAGGAACAATACAGTGTTAGCATCAGGTTGTTTGGTGGTGGTATTAGTTTGGGGGTGTGAGGAAAACTCTCAAATTAGCATGACAGGGGTAATTGAATCAACTTGTTATTTAAGCTGTAGGTTTAGGGTCAACCCTGTGTTTTGTAACTTTAAAAGCTTTTCCTATCAGGAAATCTTAATATAAGATTTTACCTTCTCCTCTATTCTCTGCAACTCCACAGCCCAGACACAGGCCTGGGTGCCACTGGGATGTGAACCAGAGAGGCTGAAAAGGCACTATTGTCTTTCAGAGGCTGAATAGACAAGATAGCTAAACAAGGATGAGAAAATTCAAGTTGGGAAGAACCCATTTTGGCATACAGGAAACAGTTATCTTCTCCATTTCAAGCATATGACTGAGGAGAATAAAAATGGATGATTTATTTAAAACTAGAAGACATCCAGATTAGATTTATTAATGGTGTTTGTCCAAAACAGCTTCTTTTTTAAAAATGACCATATCTCAACTTCCCTTGGTATTGCATCATATCTCAGTGTCATATACTCTGATTATATCCCAGTGAAGAATAACCCCAAATTTTCATTCAACAGGCCATAGGTTTGCTTATAATCTCAAATGTTAAACTTCTAGATAAAACCCCTAGTTTCTTTCAAAAGTAGGCTAATTTTCTGTGGTCATAAGAAGGCATTCATCTAACTTGAACATAGGGGTTTGCAGTGAAGGTATCAAGATTTGAACTTATTGTCAAAGCTCCCTTTGTGATGAACAAAATGTAACTAACATGTCTACAGCATGTCTCATTTTAAAGTAGGTGTTTCATCTAGAGTAGATGACCTACAAGTTGGAAGTGGCCATTTGCCTCTGTTGCCTGTACACAGAATTTAGGGAGATAAACTAATGTGAACCAGGGCCACAACTTAGACACAAACAACCATACTGCAGTTGTGGAAATGTGGGTGATTCCTACCCTAAGTAAAACAAATATTTGCAAGTGATTAATGGATATAAACTGAATAGAATTAGGCTCCCAAACAGTTTTAGCAATTTGAATACAATACCAAACCTAAATAGCATTAAATAGTATTTTAAGAACTGATACTTTGAGTTATAGATTATTATTCAAGCCATTGTACAGTTTTTGCAGCCTTGGGTACTGTTCTTAATTTATCCAGACCAGATGCAGTTGCTGTTGGGAAGTTCATCTCTATGTACCTCAGTTATATTTTCTTCTGGAAAGACAAAAGGATTGATATGACTGTACAACCTAGTTTGCAAAATCTTGGTATGGGTCTATGGCAGTGTCTTGTCACCTGCAGTCTGTTCTGAATATCAAATACTTAGGATAAACATGCCTAAATACTCTTTTCTAGAGTGGTTGCTCTGAATAATCATTTTATTCCCAGATTTTTGTTAGCATTGAATGAAAATTTTAAAAGGCTAATAAAGCTTTTAAAGACTACATTCTTTTCTTGCTAATGTGAGTTTCCTTAGTATTTCCCTATTCAGGAGGCGCCTTATGCAACTTTAGCTAGCTGATATGTAGAATCATAGAATCGTAGAATGGTTAGGGTTGGAAAGGAGCTTAAGATCATCTAGTTCCAAGCCCCTGCCATGGGCAGGGATGCCTCACTCTAGACCATGTCACCCAAGGCTTTGTCCAGCCTGGCCTTGAACACTGCCAGGGATGGAACATTTACCACTTCTTCGGGCAGCCTATGCCAATGCCTCACCACTTTTGATATAGCCCAGGATACGATTGGCTTTCTGGGCTGCTAGTACACACTGCTGACACATGTTCAGTTTCTCATCAACCAGATGTTGCTTACTCACAAGCCTGTACCTGTGCCACCACCCCAGCCAGGAGCAGAGTAGCTGCAGGGCACTGGGGACAGCTGTGGTCCTGGTCACCAGGTACCTCCATGGTGCTGTGGAGCCATGGCCAGACAGAGCAGGGCTGGGAGGAGGTTGAGAGCAACCCTTCTCTGTTATCAGTGGAGCAGCACCTGGTTCTGGGCAGGGCTGAAATTGTCCTAGGACCTGGGCAGTCCAGGCAGAGACAGTCAGGGCTGGGGATGCCCTGAGGGACATGGCAAAAGCTAGCAAAGGCTTTCATGCTTTTTTTCCTAGTTATTACACTGACAAGATGGACTTCTTGTGGAAAAGCAATAGATAGCTTTATTAAAACAAAACCAAAAGACAAAGTGATCAGATCTTGAACTTTTTTCATGCATTTTTATAGTTTGCTTAAGCATATGAAACTTGCCATTGCAGTAAAGGTAAAATTGTAAGAAATCTGTGGCTTTTTAGAACGTTTTTTAAAATCCACTTTACATTGACTCTCACTAGATTTAACAGAAAATAATTTGATTCTCTCATTTTCATTCTCACAATCTGGAAGCCAGAAATCAGTGAGCTTCCCAAGGCAGAGCTGTTGATCCACTGTGTAGTTACTGAATTTTGCATTTGACATGGTTAAAAGTTCTGGGCTGTGTGGCATCTGTAGGAAAGCCTCTTTGGAGTAAAGATTGGTGAATTGTATCTGCCAGCCTTACTGAGTGCAGAAAAATGTTTGTAACAATTAGTTCAAGTGAGTGCTGTAAAAACATAGCATGTTGTACAACAAGATGCAGAAAGCTTGATTTTTCATACTCAAGGTATTCTGCTTTGCAAGTCTCTGCTAAATATATTTTCTATTCAGTATTTTTATTATACTTATCTTATTCTCCAATATTGGTGCTTTTAAACCAAATAATTTTTCCACCACTATTAATATGTAGAAATTCCAGTAAGAATTTTTAAGGAAATTCATTTTTTTACTGTTACTGATAGCCCTAAAAGACTCCAAAGAGCAGTTTCTGAATATTGATCTTCAGCTTTGCCCAAAGCTGGGATATGCTTGATGGCATGGTTTGGCAATTAGTAATAAAATGACCAATAATGAACAGAAACATGACCTCTGGGCATGCTTCCATATTGCCACAAGACGTTGTAGTCAGGTACCATTTCTAAATGAAAATTCTTAATTTTAGGCACCTCAGTTTTTGAGCATCCATCTTCAGAAAGTTACAGGAGTTATCTTATCTTTGAGTCCTACCTAAATCAGCTTCTTGGTCCAAAGTGGATTGTAGACCCACTGAAATTATGTGTGGACCTTCACTCAGAACTTCCCAGCATACAGTTTTCAGAATATGTGGTTCTACTCTATTTGGGATGAAAATATCTGTATATCCATGTTTTTTCCAAATCCTCAAGGGATTCTGAATTATCAAGTCTTTCAATGTTTTTCCACAAAATGGAATATGAAGGGGAGAAAAGAACTTGCATATTTAAGCTGATCTAAATCCAGGGGTAACTCTTAATATCTCCTGTAGCAATATACATGATGCTATGTATTCCTGTTAAATTTCACTGCTTAGAAAGACATAATTATACACTAGAACCAGTCTGTCTCCAGAATATATACGATAAAATTATCATATATCATTCTGTTACGATCATTTATGGATATATGCATATCATGATCTGAAGGAACAGAAAAGCTGGAGCCCTGGTTATTCCTTTTGGCTGTGTAGGTGTTCATGTCCAGTGGAGTGGCTGAGCTTGCTATAGGCAGCAGGAGAGTTGGCTGGGAAGTACCACCAACCTTGTTAAAGGAAACAGGATTTGGTTTTATATTTACTTATTTATATTTGTAGAACAGCATTTTAATAATTTTTTTTCTAAGTAGTCAATGAGATTTGGGATGGAAAATGGTGTCGGCAAATGTTAGGTCTCCATGTTTAGTGTCAGTGGCTGCAATACTAAGAGTGTATTGTCAAAAATATACACAGCACCTCAATTGTGTAAAAAAAAATCTGTGTAAAGAACTCAACTTTCTCACCATCTATAATGCTGATGAGGTAGTTAGGCATATCTCTTTACTAGTTAACTTGCCTGCTGAAGCTAGCAACCAGAATGCCAATTGCCTCTGTACTTCTGACTGAAGCAGTTTTCTACTACAGGCAATCTGGACAGGTCTTGTAGCTAATTTCACTAATGCTATGATTCACTGCTTCCACAACTTCTAGTAACTCCTGAGATGGGTTGGATTTTAATGTGACGTTGAAATAAGATTTTTTGCTCCTTACAAGTCTTCAGAATAATCTAGTAATTCTCTGCTTGAAACCCTCGGACACATTCACTCTCTTACACACCAAACTGTGTACTGCCAAACACTGACTTAACCATATTTTGCAACCTAAAGCATTACTGGCACTTCAGGAAGCAGCAATTCTAATGCCTCAAAGGCATCATCTTAATTGCCAAGGCAGTCTTAATGGCAGGTAAAAGCTTATTCTAATTCCCTTCAGCATAGCATGCAGGCAAAACTTTCATTTTTACATCTTCTATTGCCTCTGCAACAGATATATATCATGCATAATCTTCAGAAATCTTCACAATTTAGTTGGTTGTTTTCAGACTATATTGAGGTGTTGATCATATACAGGATCATGCGTTGCTGTCATGGAGGCATTCTGCTAGTTTTAAAGTGAAAAACTCCATCCTGGATGTTTGTCTGCAATGGTATTCTAGCACTTTTCACAAAATTAAGGTCATATAATCACAGAATCATAGAACAGTTAGGGTTGGAAAGGAGCTTAAGATCATTAGGTTCCAATCCCCCTGCCATGGGCAGGGACACCTCACACTAAACCATGTCACCCAAGGCTCCGTCCAACCTGGCCTTGAACACCTCCAGGTATGGAGCATTCACAACTTCCCTGGGCAACCCATTTCAGTGCCTCACCACCCTTACAGATAAGTAAAATAAATGGACTGCTGGTAGAAACAGCCTTAAAATGGCAAGAGTAAATTGATAACTGAAAAAAAAAAAAAGGCGGTTTAGACCTCTGATCTGTTCACAGACTATGACGTTACACATCATTTAAAAGAGAATGAAGTGGGTTTTATTTTATTTATTACTACCAATAACTCTATAAAAGCTGGTTGGGATCCTGCAGAACAGAGGGTGCTGTCTAAAACTGATGAATTATGATATGAAGTGTTAAGTAGGGATTAAATATTGTGCAATACTAATACTGAGATACAAAGAATGACAGTTACTAAACACAGGAGTACTATGTTATCCCAAAACCTGTTAATTTGGTGCAGTATTCCTTATTGTTATGCTGTCTACATGAAAAAAAAAAAACCTGTTACAAGTATTAAAACTCAGAATCTCTATTAAAAATTATGTTGTTTAGGTTAGCTCATTTGCCTAACAGCTTGATTTGTTGTGAAGACCTTTCTGTTGTTTCTGAAATTTTTAGTGGCTTTCTAAGCAAAAGTATTGTAACCAAAAATACAATTTATGTCTTTAACCTTGTACTTATTTTATGCATAAAAATGAAGAAAAAGGGTTCTTGAATATCTTGATAGGGTTTTCTTTTTTTATCTAACTACAGCTGTAATAACATATTTAAGATACTGTAGAAGACATACAAAAAGGGAGCAAGCTCATCCCTGTGTTCATGATTGATAGGAAAAGAATAATATATCTAAATTGCCACATAGATACATATTCAGGACAAATATTATGAAGAAAATTTTCTCCTGCTTCTTATATTGAAAAATAGGCCACCTGCAGAGACTGTGGAGTCAGTAGCATCAGAGATGTTTTAAAAAGGTCTCTTAAACTTAGCTATAGCCCCTGAAGAAGGGAAAGGTGAAAAGGAGGTCACAAAATGCTCTTGATGGTTGGCAACAGCTAATGGCTGTTAATTTCTGGCAGCTATTTGGTCTCTCCACAGCAGAGGGATGGATTTTTAGTTAGAAATGGAACTAAGATGCCACCAGCAATTAGAGATTTTTGTCTGTTCCCTGTTAATATAAATTCTTGTCCACAGGAATTGCAACTGCCTGTCACTAAGTTAAGGAGGCTGCAAAAAAGATAAGAAGGTTATTGCACAAAAGAAGAATGATTCCAAAAGTCATTTGAATTTGTGAAAATGTGTGAGGAATAGTATGTTACACACACTTTTGTCAAAAATAATAGGTATTTGGTCCTACTCTGGTCAGGGGAAGAGGCTCAGTAGCTGGCTTTTGGGGGTCCCTTCAAACAGTTACAACTCTATGGTCATAATTCTGGATTTTGCTAATTAAACGTGATGTTGGAGAGATGAAGTCCATCCACAGCTGAAGTCTGATCCTCAGCCAACACATCTTCCTTCTCCTCACACACATCTCTTCATTGCCTTTTTGCACCAGATGTGCAGCAGTGTATGGGGTGCAAAGGTGGACCTTGCTGCCTGCAGCCTGCACACCCTGTGTCCCTCATCCAACAGCCGGCTGGTCGGCAGATCAATGGCCCTTATGTGGGACTGTAGACTTGCACAGCAGTGCTGCCCACAGCTTCTCATTGCCTCCTTGCTCAGCAGAGCAAGGAATATCACCCTAAACCTAACGCTTCTCTGATCTGGAGTACGGTGCCAGCCTTTAACTCATTCCTTCTACTATTTTTGGGTTTAATTAGAGTAAAATTATCACATGACCTGGCATTGCATGAAAGTGGAGGAAATTCAACTCATTTACTAAAGCAGGTATCTCCCTTCAGGGCACCACTGTGGCCTGGGGTTCCCCATGAGGGTAGCAAAGCAGGGCCTGGCAGCCTCGGTCTGTCCCACTGCCTGAGCCAGGGGGAATGCTCAGGAAGCGGGACACTAGACCACGTCCTAAGTGCCGCGCCTATGTCTTTTAAATACCTCCAGGGACAGTGACTCCACCAGTTCCCTGTGCAGCCTGTTCCAATGCTTGATAATCCTTTTGGTGAAGAAATTGTTCCTAATATCCAGTCTTAAACCTCCTCTGGCACAGCTTGAGGATACTTCCTCTTGTCCTATCACTTGCTACTTGAGAGAAGAGACCGATCCTACCTCTCTCCATCCTCCTTTCAGGTAGCTGTAGAGAGCGATAAGGTCCCCCCAAGCCTTCTCTTCTCCAGGCTAAACAAAGTTCCCTCAGCCATTCCTCACCAGACTTGTGCTCCAGGCCCTTCACTAGCTCTGTTGCCCTTCTCTAGAGATGGTCCAGTGCTTCCACCTCTTCCTTGTAGCGGTTTGATGCATGACCTGGGGCTGTGCAGGAGGTAGACCTGAATGTGCCAGATTTATATGCATCAAAACATGCCAAACCTTGCACAGACAAACTTCTGCCCAACCTTATTTACTTAATGTGTTTCAAGTAACAGTATTTATTTGACATCTGCCTCTGGCTGCCCCACATATCAGTATGACTTCTAACTTGATACTTTGTGCACTAGGTTAAAAATATATTTCTTAATAAAATAAGAAATTTTCAGAGACCATATTAATCCAGACGGTAATTGCTTAAGCCTCTTAGCCCAAGAGATGCTGAGGAGATACTAATGTATCAAGAAGATTGCCTATTTGTCATCAGGGAGGTGATGTGGTATCCTAGATCTTAAAGTGTCTCACTGGTGAAAAAAGCAGTCTGCCAATGTGCCTCAGATTTTAAACTTACACAGTATATACTTACACCAGAACTAAAAAGTGTCATTGTTGATGGTGTTAAAATGGGTGTCTTTATTTGGTTCAATGGTGATTTGAATGTATATTTTTATTTTTGTTTTTAGTAGCTAAGGATGTCAACATTTTTTTTGATGAGTTAGAAAGTGTGAACAGCCCTTCCAAAGATGATGACTCCCTGCTTCACCACGGTAACTTGACCAGTACCTCTGACGATGCCAGCAGGTTGGAAGTTGTGGGAGAGGTAAGAATTATTAATGTAATAATTATTCATGTCCATTACAGAAAAGGACGTTTGATTTTTGTAATTTGATTTTTTTAATTGTATTAAATTAAAATGAATACTCACTTATTGCAAGTCAGCTCGTGTCTCACCTTTCCCATGGTTGCTGGTTTTCCATTATAATGCTGAAATATAAAACATCTCAAGTTAAAAGGAGGTTTTATTGATTTCATGTGCCCCCAGTGTAAGGCCTGTGCATGCCTTTACTGTCTGCTTGTGTTTTGAAGCATCCAAGACTAATGCTTCACTGCTTCTGAAAATAAATGAAAGGTTTTCCCTATGTTAATCATTTGGGAGGAAGGAGGTTAATTTATCATAAAACTCATAATAAGCATCGGGTGTCAGGTATGAGACACATTCCCTTCCAGTGAAGAACAAATGACCTGATGGTGCACAAGGGTAATTCAGAGAACATACCAGAGAGGAATCATTCAGCACATCATCCCTTTTAAATCTTACCTTAAAGCAAACAAAGCATCATAGATCCATGGTGGAAATTTGTGCCTAAATTCCTTTTTGTGTCCTTTGTGGAGAAAGGAACATGATACCTTTAACCTTGCTATCTCTTCAGGGAGTGGAGACACCAGGAACTTCTCTCTTTTCCCCCACATCATGCATGCAGCTGTATCCAGACTACTCACTGGGGTGCTTTGATTTTACCTGCAATCTGTGCCTGGGGATTTTTTTGGCAGAGGGCTGACTGGCAGAACTGACAAGGACCATATTGACAATGAAAAAACATGGGAAACCATAAGATATGACTGAAACCCCTACCCTGACCCTGCTTGTTTACTAGTTCAGAAAAAGTTTAGATGATGTAATTACAGATTATGTGCTTTTCAGGATCTAGAGGGTTTTGTGGTGCAAGCTCTTATGTGAAACACTGCTGAGAGTTTCACATAAGAACTACTGAGGAAAGAGTCAGAGATTTTTCTTGTGCTAGAAATTCAGCCCACTGAGAACTGTACTCCTAGAATGTTTAGACAGATAATTAAAGCAGCAAAATTCAGGGCACCTAGAGATATGTTTGACTTTGCTCACAATTTATCTTCCCCTTAACTCATTGCTCTTCCCCAGCTTCCTGTACAGCTTGCAGAGGGCTCTCTTTGCCTTTTTGATCTATAATAGGTTAATCTGACATGATATTCCTGTGTTACATTTTGGGATCATGTACAATATGGTCTTTAACAAAACGGCGCAGGTGAAAGATACATGATCTTTCCAAGTTTAAGAGGAAGATGGTCAGAAACTGAAAGGTATAGAGCAATATATGTGCTGTTAATTTAGCAATCCTGAAAAAAAAAAAAATACTGCAAAACCTTTTTCCACCTCTTTGCTGTCCTCTTTGGGTTTTTTTTAAGTGAAAGGGAAAATGTCTGAGGAATAATTTTCCTAGTTGAACAGATTCATCTTTTTTCCCTGCATGGCCTTAACTGAGGAATATAGTAGTGTAGGTCATTTATATGTACGGGGGCAGAGGGAAGGGGGAGAAGAAAATTGAAATTCCTAACAGGAGCTGAAGGATGCTGTAGCCTACAAAAAAAAAAACAACAAAAAAACAACCAACAAAACACCAAAGTAGTTCAAAGTACTTGGTCCCTGCTTAATTTCTGAAGGAAAAGATACACTGTTTAGATGTTTGGGTTGTATGGGTAATATGGGAGCACAACTGTAGAGCGGTAGGGTGAACTCTGAAGCTTCAAGATTCCTTTCAGTCTTTGAGTTTAGTTTAGTATCTGTAAAAACCTGTAGATTCCCCTTAATGTCATCAGGACAGGGGATCTGACACCACTGAAACTCTCTCTCTGAATATGTTGTTGTTTGGTTTTGTTTTGAAGATAACATTGCAGCAGAATAGTTTAATGTGATTTCTAGCTGAATTTGTTAAAATGAATTTACAATTGAAAAAAAAAGAAATAGCAAGGACATACCTAAGGTTTCTTATCACCATTGTTTAGCTGACAAGTTGAAAAATTGTTCACTTCAACCTTTAGTTGTTCATGATCAACCAGAAAAACGATGAAGACTTTATGCATGGAACTTTATCAACAGTTCATTAACAGATGCAGAGCCAGATTGAGATTCAGCTTGTACTTTGGCTAAAGATGTTTTTTGTTGTTGTTGTTCCATTCAAACACAGTGACAGTTTGAGCAACTTGAAAATCACATTTCCCTTTATGTGCATTGATTGAAATACTTTTAACCTATGTCAATGTAACAATTAGGTATACACTTTACAATTTAAATCCTGGGGCATATTATCACTAAAATATTGCATTACTTTCACTGAAGTTTCATTTTCTAATAAATGGAGTGGCAGCAGAAGGAAAGTAAAAATTCAAAGAAAAATTATTTAGGAGCTATATTCTAGGTTATGCATCCATTCTGCCTTTCTTTCTATGGAGTAGTAACTAAGTGTTCTTTATCCAAACAAGGGAGAATGGCGGGGCTGGGACAAAATTTGACTTCTTCTTAAATGAGTTTTTATGGCCCATACTTGACATTCCAGCTAATGTAGGTAGTTTTGAAATTAAAATTGTAAGAGTCAATCCCACAGTCTTCATTGTAAACATACAATTCTCTTGATATTTGGAGGCAGTGTTGTTAACATTATGCACAATACAGTTTGTTTTAACTATGTGTTTTAGAAATTGCAACTTTCATTGAGGATTATGGCAGGAAAATGAATACATTAATGTTGCAAAATAAGAATTGTGACATTCTTTATAGCATTTATAATAGCTTGTGCAATTTCAGATGTTTTCCTCTGTGTGTTTACAAGAATACAAACTAGCTACATAATTTTTTTTCACCAAATCCTTGTCATCAATGATCAGGATGGATATGGAAAGAGATTATGTATGATTTCAGAGGAAACTACAAATCTGTTGCTTCCTAACTTGTGAGCACTTGATTTTTCAGCCTAGATGATTTCATTACTTGAGAAGTTCAATGTAATTAAATATATTATGGTGTCAAGAAAAATAAAACAACCAGTGAAGATACATGAAAAAAAAAAAAAAGTTGCAGTTTCATCAAAATTACAATCTAAATGGGAAAAGGGATATTAGGAACAAAAGAACACAGAGAGAAAAAAATACACTTGTTCTTTGATTAGAGCTGTGGCTTAAAAACTAGGTGGTTCTGGGTTCCTGTTTTTCTGCATAAATTCATAACATATTAACCCTCTCTACCAGCTGTGAAACTGTATGCAGGGGACTCTAATTTCAAGTAGTCACAAACAGGAAATGACGATCTTAGAATTCAAAGATCCTATCTTCGTTGAGCATTCATACTGATAATAACAAGGTACTGAAATTAGGAATGAAGAAAGAATTTAATCTGTTGCTACGCTAGTGAACATTAGAGTCCCTTCTGAATTATTTTCTTAAAGGCCTGCAGGTGAAGTTTCACATTTCCTTTATTTTCCTAATTACACTTTTGTTTAAAAGTTTAGTGTCAATTCTCTATAGCTGCTAGTGTTATGAATCCTCTGATTTTTCATAGTGAAACATTTGGGTAAGCCCTTTAGCCTAAAGCTCTCCTAGTGTGTAAGTGTGTATGAGTCATGTGTCTTTGAATGTTGATGGCTCCTAATTGTGGGTCTGAGAATATGAAAACTACTGCATTCCTTGGAAAAGAATTCCCAATGATACAATTTCAAATACACATATTACAAATAAAGCTGCAAATATAGCCAGAAATAATAAACTTCTTGCGAAGATGAAGTCTTCCTGGTTCTTCCACTTCCTTACAGCATTCTTTTTCAGTTGAAGCAATGGAGATTTGTCGTACATGACTAGAGCACTTTCCCACCAAATACTGCAGTCAGACACGGTTCTACACATATATGTGTATTTAATCAGTTCAGGAAAATTGAGTTTTGAAGTCATAACACAGGGAATCAAAATGCAGTGTCTGGAGAAGGGTCAGCAAAGCTTAAGGTAGGAGAAGAGTCTCTGTCTAGAATAGTGTAAGCCTGGAAGGCTGTGAACAGTGCAAAAGCCCTGCAGCTGGTATTTCCCGACACTGGGAGGCCAGCCCTTACTGTCTCTTTATCATGAGTTCTTGGAAGTCCAGGATCAGTCTATCAAGCTTCCTTACAGGCTATAACAGAAGACAACAGAAAAGGTTCCTTCTCAGAGGCTTACTAGTCTAGTAGGGTTTATCAGTCTGTTTTTGACATACTGTGTTCCTAAAATTAAAAGGACCTCCAAGTAGAGATAAGGGTTGCTTTTTTGAACAAAAATTACAATACTGCTGTTGGGAGTGCTTCACAGGTGCAAGAAAAATTATGACTCAGGGTGTCATAGTTATAGAAGAAGAAGTCCTGCAAGTCAAATAACTCAGCTAAATCTCATAGATGCTCTTTAATATAAAATTCTACATCCACTGATGAGTCAGCGTAGGGCAACCCAATTTTCTTTAGAGAAAGATGAAATATAGGAAGCATAAAGAGCAAATCTATTTTTCCAATGGAGTCATTGTTGCATGCAGAGAAAGGCAGATTCCTTGTTGTACTCTCTAGATGGGTCTGTACTGACATTTTAGTTCAGATCAGGAGTGTATATTTGAAGGGAATCTCTCAGTTACCCCTACCCATGCTCTGTTTGCGTTCCAGGGCAGTGTTGGATTTTAAACCTGGATTTCTTCTGCATACAAATAAATTGTGAGATGTAAGCACTATATAGTGTGGACAGCAGATCCTCAGCATAGGTTGTTTTGTTGTACAGATACTTTCCTATTACACCACTTTATTTGCTAAAATATATGCAGTGACTCTGAGACCTACAAAACAGGAAGGATGGCTCATCAGGAGGCTTAGAAATGAGAATGGGACCTCCAAGATGACCCACTGCCTCTAAATCTCCTATTGCACCCTTCCTTTATTTAAATAACCTTAAATACCCTTTTGGGGTTTTTTATGTCTTCTCAACATTGATTTTTTTTATAGAAAAAATAAACTGTGCTTCCTGAGATGTTTTCATACTTAATGCTCCATGAAAAAAATATTTCTATATTTGATAATATTATTTGTCAGCATGATATGCAGTCTAGATATAAATGGTTTGTTACTGTTATTTCCTTAGGGCTTAAATCTTTTTTCTTGCCTTCTTTTGCAGTTCAAAGAACTGTTCTACTATATCAAGTGTGCATTAAGCTGTGTCAGAAGTCAGGCACTGTAATAAAATAATCTTAGAAAAATTGCCCTTTCTGCTTTCAGTAAACTCTATATACCATGGGGATGGGACATTTGGAATGCTTTCATTGGTTTTTCCATTTAAACAAAATGCCTGCCAAGAATCAGGAAGATAGCTTACTCTACATTCTTTCAATGGGAACATTGGTGGAGGAAGGTTCTGTAAGAATAATGTGTACTAAGTTCACTTTTTGCAATTTAAATTCAGAAGCAGTTCTGCTATGGAGAAAGTATTTTGAGAATTACCTACTTTTTTTTTCCCTAAGATTTGACCATACATTATAAGGCATGGCTATTTCTGGTACGAATGTTTAAGAAATTCTAGAAAAACTGAGAAATTAGCCTAACCCTCCCTTCAGGTTGGAGCTGGACTGATCTTGAGGCCCCTGAAGATCCCTGCTGACTACGTTACTCTGAGAGAAAGCTGCTTGTACCCATATGTCATTCACAGTGCACATTTTTTGTACAAAAAACTCCAACCCACAAACTGTCACACAAATCCAACTTCACTGAAGGTGAAAGCTTAACCCCTGGTCAGGGCTTGTATTCTGTGGAAGTAGGGTTAAATTGTGAGGAGGATGTGTAGAGAGTTTAATCTCATGAGTTTCTGGAAAAAGACCTGCAGTTTGATTTAGATCTCAGAAGAGGGACCAGCTTGACCTCTTAGTAACAGTGAAGTCAAGTGGTTTCTTTCTATCAGGGCAAACATTGGAACAGGCACACTCTTTGCAGAAAATAGCCAAGAAAACATCTTTATTGTGTTTATGTACTGCTAGACCAAATACCAGGAATTATTTTCAAATAAATCCAGTGGGTTTCCTCAACTGTTCCTTAAGCAAAGGATATTTTGTTCTTAGTCTGATAAGGGATAGTGAGGTAGGTACAGGATCTCCTGTGAGACAGAGGTACTAGAGTCAACACAAAGTGATGAGAATCTCTGCACCAGGTTTTAGTGTTTCTTGCTGTATGGTAAATGCTCTCATCGTTTTTTGTTCTTTTCTCCTGTACAAAGACATTCTACCATACTAAGCTCTTAATCTAAAATTTGTGCTTCAGTACCACTATTTTCTTATCTTATATGTGAGAAGTTATTCCTAATTTGATGGAGGGTGGTGAGGGAGGAATGTTGGCTTGTGTTCTCTATTCTGTCCTAACCCAAGCCTATATGACCAAGTAGCTGCCTGGATTTAAAGTCTGTAATCCTGTTAGAGGACTTCAGAGGCACTGTATGTAAAGTACGTAAAAACTTGAACAGCTTGTTCCGATTCCTTCTCTTTTCCTCTGAGTGTTACTGAAAAATGATGTGCAAACAGCAGTGCAGCAATTACAAAGGCAAATTAACATTACCAAAATGTTTGACTTTCTCTTTACAGGAAGTACCTGATAAGAACAAAACCAATGGACTATACTTTAGAGATGGGAAATGTCGGATTGACTACATCCTGGTGTATAGAAAATCCAATCCACAGGCAGAAAAGAGAGAAATATTTGAGAGAAATATCAGAGCAGAAGGACTACAAATGGAAAAAGAGGTAAGAAAGCTTCCTTGAAAGAATTTTTAACATTGAAAGCTGTATAGAATCTGATGGCATGAGTTTTGTTTACTCTGAACCTCCTTTACTGTGTTGTAGCAGTGGAAAAATGCTTTTAAGCATGCCTAAATATAGGCTATTTTTTGCCAAAGCAGTTGGAAAGCATAGCCTAAAGAAAAACAACACATGGATTGAAGGCCAAAATAGGCCATTACAGTCATATTTTTCAACCTCCTGCACAAGTAAGACAAAGAATTTGATCCACTGTGCTGTGCAATAGAGAAAATAAGTGCTGGGTTTGGACGACCTTACTCCTACTGAGTGCAGTCCACATTTCTGCACCTATTCCTTTTAGTTACCTGCTCCAATTATTATTGAGACTCTTGGTACTCTTTCTAGAGGCCTTACTAGACCATGCCTTCCTTTTCCTGTCAGTTTAGGCACAGGGACTTGAGCAGTATTTTTGTAGTTTGAACAGAGCCTAAAGTCTCTCCTTCTGTCTTAATCCTAAACATTGAAATAATTGGACAGTGCATGTGAATCACTTATATTGGTGTTATTTGCAACACAGTGTCCCAAACCCCAGTGAATCTTTTCTGAACAAAAAGAGCAAAAGTGAATGTAAAGTGTCTAAAAGTTTATTGATATGCTAAGTAGCAGGAGCAAGGCTTAAGAGACCATCTCTTTTGCCTACGCTATGTTCTTTCTTAAACTTTTAAAAGTATGCTTATACATGGCTTAATTCTCACTTCTGTGCGGAGTAGACACTGCTGAATGTATATCTTTACCTTGATCAACTCACACCCACGCCAGTATGCATTTTCAAGCTGCCACCGATGGAAATGGTAGAGGAGTGCCCAGGTTGCAGGCCATGGTAAATTATGTTGGTGCTGTGTATTATCACTGAATTCCTGGTACATGTGTAGATATTCTACCTGCGTACTTGAAAGGCATGGCTCTATGGAGAACAATGGGGAGTTAAAAATGGAAGCTCTTTCTCTCCAGAACAATGAAAATGTTTCCTTTATTTAAATGTTTACATGTTTTTAAATGAGCATGGGTACTGGGGCTATAAGAGTATGAGCGTATCACTGATTACATCAACCAGTTATCATAAACTGTGCCTTCAAATAACCTTGAAGTTAGTGTCTTTAGTGCTGCTGTAGTTGATAAGACGTTTTCAATAGCAGCCATCGTTCATTTAATCCTGTAAACATACAACTGTCTGTAGGAGTTGTACCACAACATCCAAGAACATGAGAGTGTTGCTGCAGCTGTTCAGCTTCACAACCTAGAATCCTGCCCTGCTTCCACCAGGAGAGATGCTGAAGAAGTCTCTGAAATTTGGGCACTGTAGAAAATGAATGTGAAATTAACACTCCCTATTGATACACCTGCCCAGTGATCTCAAAACTATTTCTTTCTACTTTGTGATTTTTGCAGTTTTCTTGTTGTGCTAAGGTCAATAGTGTAAGCTATGAAATCACTTTATATTTCGAGTATTATGAAACTATTTGCAATATTTTACACAGAAAACTTTTTCAAGTTGATGATTCAAGTGCTTACTATGAAATTTTCTTGACGCTTTCAAGCCCATTTATTTGGACTTTGCTGCCTAGACTGCATGAATGTTCTGCCCATTTGATTATTCATTTCAGTTTCTATTATGCTACTGGCATGCAGTTTTATTTCTTATTAATTTCATTTGGCCTCAGTGTGACTTCTTGGCAGCATCAGTAATTGTACATTTTCTAAACTCAGAAAGATCAAAATGAGGTTGTATTACATGACTCAGGCTAATGTTTTTTAAATCTAGGGTAGCAATCTTTTTTAGCATATGATTCTGACCTAAAATTAAACCGTAGCATCTATATTTTATGATTTTTATGAAATTGAATTATAATCCTGAAGGAAATAACTACATTCTCGGTACAGTCCATCCCCCTCCCCACAAAGTAACATCTGTGTTGTGTAACACTTGTGTTTAAACTAAGCAGTGGGATTGATTATTTCTCATTATTTGTACTTCTCTCTTTGGTGAGACTACACGTCATTCTGAGTTACAATTCTGGAATATTTTAACAGAATGTCTGTTTTCTAGTTCTTCAGGTATAATATATTACTTCTGGAAAAGCTTGCTCCCAGATAAAATAAGATAATTGTTTGTGGCTTTGGTCATGGAACTTACACAGAGGCAAGAGGCTGTAATTGCTGGATTGAAAGAAACTTTCTGTCTTCTGTGAATTTTGTGTCGTTGTTGGTGCATTCTCCTTTGACAACTGGCTCTGTTCATATATTGACATTCAGTTGTGTTAGTCCTGTCTTTTTAATGTGAAATCAGTGGCAGAGAGGAAAACTTACAGAGCTGTTCACACTGTAGTTTCAAACCCGTATTTCCCTGCACACTGCAGAAAGAGAAAAATGCACTGCAGTGGCTCACTGACAAGTGTAGCACATCAAAACACCCAGGAAGTGGTGAGTGGAGGGCACATAAGTGTTCACTTAACAGCATGAAATGTAAAAGTGAATCTGAAATGAGTTCATAAATGTTGAGATAACTTCAGGCACAGTGTCAAGATCATGTAGCTGAGAAAGGTATATGTTTCTAATTTTATAAAAAGGTTTTGCAGGTAATTCCCCAATGAATTCACACTCACATTTTTTAGCTATACCACAGCACTCTGCCACGGGAGTTCTGCCAGGTTTGGTGCTCTGTATATTCAGCGGCAAACAATGAAGAGCTCCCAGACCAAGGAACAGATCATTGAATTAGTGAAAGCATGGTTAGCAGAGCTCTGAGAGTGAATGCTAATCGAGTGGAACAGCATAAATAATTTTCTGACCCTTTCCCATGCTTTTCAGTATATACTGGATCTGGGTCACATGACTGTGTTGTCCCAGTCCAACATAGATCACGTCCAAGATGTGATCACATTCACAGAAACTCTAGGTAAGTTAATTGAAAATATACGTCATTCCAGGAAAAGGAACTGTGTTTTCTGTCCAGACAGATATAAAATTTCCTATGTTCATTTATCCTTTTTTTACACAAGTGAGAGAAATAATTATGATATCCTGGCGGTGGGATTCTCAATGACCACACCATTTTCATCTTTTAATAATGTTTGAGACAGATTTATGTCTTGGGTAAAATGAAGAGGGCAGTCTCCAAATGGAACAAGTTCTTATCATGGATGAAATACCAATAGCACTGCTGATTTGTAGGACTGATACCTTCTGTAAATACTACACACAACTTCCAGAGTTGACTGGCAAATGTTTAAGAGGATACAAGGTACTACTGTCCACATTTTGAGGTCATGTTTCGTATTTATCCAAATGCAGGATAAACCTGAGACTAAGATCAATACACTGACACTTAGAAAAAAATAACTTATGATCACTTTCATGTGAAAAAAATGAATACAGATAGTAACTGTCAGTTCAAACATTGTGTCCATCCCTCTGGGACCATAGAAACCCAACATTTTTCTGGAAAACCTATCTTTTCAGGAGAGAGTGAAGAGTCAGAATAATATTGGGACGATCGTATTTTTCACAAGAATGAAGATTTGTAAATTCAACCTCTTGGCCAAAACAGAGCTAAGTTCCCTTATCCCAAATTACTCTTGTATCTTCAGTTAATGTGTTTTATTCCCTGTCCTAAATGGCCAGGTAGAACTAAGTTGCTGTAAGCAGTAACTATGTTGTGCTGTTGTACATGTATATAGTATTACAGACAGCTTTCAGTAAGGTACTTTAAATTATGCTACACATGCAGAGCATGCACTGAGGTAGCCAGCATGGAGCAGCTAACATACGTAACTTGTTCACTTGCAACTTATTTAAGCTGGACTTTAATGCAATGCAAATGCAGGATAAAAGTAAGGTAGTTCAAGGAAATCTATGCTGGATGAACAAACACAGACCATCCTTGGATTTGTAATTTGTAAAAGAGAATAAAGAGGTCATCTTAGATTTAGGTAAATACTGCGTATCCAAAATGAATCTGATGCTTAGTAGGATCTTGTCATGTAGCCCTAGGAATAGACTGCATTTAGTTTGAACTTGCCATGGGTTTTAGGAGGGGCTGTTTTGTTTGTTTGGTTGGGTTTTTTTCCTTCTCGTGTCTGCACTAAATTCATATAGAGTAGTTCTCCTACTAAATGTACTTGATACATTTTCCTTAAAGATTGTATCCAAACTTTTAAAGTCATAATTTGTAATTTGATTTGATGGAGTTTATTTAAAAAGGCATTTGGCATGACAGTAGAAATTGAGAGACAGTAATATTCAGGCCCTTTATTATATATATATTTCATATGTATGTATGCTAATCTTTCAGTATAAAAACAATGAACACTCCTTACTTAAAAGCAATAGCATTCCTTACTGCCTCAAAAAGCAAGTCTCCTCACAGCTACTGGAAGTATTGTTTCAGGAACTAATTTCAGATATTATTTCAGATATGTTATTTCAGACATAATGGCAGTCAACCCATTTAGGCTTCTGCCCACACACTGATCTTTGCATCTCCTGGATAAAAGAAGATACTAGCGTAGTGTACTGGTCCAGTCTTCAGGACTGTTTTTTGTGATGTATGCCCAATTAAAAATTTAAACAGTGCCACCATAAGTGTCAAGATGTCACCAGGACATCTCTAATTGCATTCACTCCCTGCCTCAAGCAGCAGCTGATGTTTCTGTGGCAACATCTGGCAGATGATAAGCAGGCAGTGTATACAATAGGCAATAGAAATATGCCATAAGTGTTCTCTGAAGAAAAGCCAAAATGGTAGGGAAGAAAAGCACAGTATAAGTTTCACTTTTGCCATATGAACAAGTATCTACTAGCTGGTATAGTCTGGCTCTGAAAGTCATGTTAATCTGAGAATGAAAGTTATGTTTAGAGATCTTTTTCAGTAGTTGATGCAATATGATTAGAGAATGCTATTACATCATGACTTTTCAAATTTGCAAGCAGATGTAGATAGGTTCATG